TGATAGTTGGTCATGGTAGAGAATATTTGTGGATTATATATACGTTTTGATGTTGCTTTGAACACTAGAACTACCAGAATGGTTATTTTTAATAATAGAATTAGAGGACAACGCTTGTAGCTGTCGACTCTTTGGTGTTAGGTAGGTTAGAAACGTTTGTTTAGCATCAATGTTTGAGCTGACATATTTTATTCGTTATTTTTATCACTGGAATTATCGGAACTATTATTTTTAATAGTTGAGCTACTGGGCAATGCATATAGTTGTTAACTCTTTGGGATTAGGTAGTTTAGAAACAGTCCCGCTTTTGGTTTAACATCAATATTTGAGTTGAAATTTTGTGTTCAGTTGACAGTGTATCGAACCAATGTTAAATAAGTGAAAATAATAATTTATACAAGTGAAAACGCATTAATAAATTGTTAATACTGTTTTTCAAAGCAGCTTGAGTTTTACTTTAATTTTAAATCGTGTTTTTCGAAGAGTTAATAATTAGTCTTAATTTTATTTTAATAATTGTTACCAAAAATGATATCAAAAGAATGGTTATTAATTGAGTAATTTTAAAAAGAAGTCCAGCACGCGTGGATTAACTTGATTCGCTAGGTATAAAATCTTGTATATTTTCTTAAATTGTGCATTGTAGGTGGGTGACAAACAACAGTCAATAGGTTTCCGTAGGTAGATACTGGAATTAAAAACCTTATAAATAGACTCTCGATAGATAAAGTGTTAAGTCTCCCTCGATAGATATTAATCTGTATAAGTGAACACAGATGAATATATCGTAACAATACTTATCCGTATATCACTCTAATATTATTTCATTTTAAGGAAATAATTAACGAAACAAAAGAAAATTTGTTTAGAAATGCAGTAACGGAAACATTTGTGTTTTCTCGTTTATATAATATAACATATATTTACATTTACCATAATCTAATTACTATACAACTTTTTGTACAGATTATATTTATCGTAGAAGACGTAAAAGTAATATCAAAAATATAAATAATATACACCAATATCTTCGTTAATATTTGACCCTATTTCACAAGCATTATCTCGAATCTCGTAAAATAAAAATATTTCTTCCAAACGTATAGAAATGCATACTGTATGCGTAAAGTGTTCAATATTTTGTAATAGTTATTTTGGTATCGAATTCTCGGTATTGTCTCTAGTCATTTTGGCAGTCCCTCTTTTTGGCGACCTAGTTTCACCTTTTTAGAAGTAAACTGTGTCATGCGTTTTTTTTTTCTGTTAATGTTTTATGGAAGCATGAACCTGTGTAAGTCACGATCATTGTTCTAGACGAATGAGGTGGAAGGGTCATAAGTTGAACACAGCAATATTCAATCGGTGGTTGTCGATAATTTCCTTGTCAATCCATATTCACTATTTTCCATTATACCTTTTGATCAAGCGATGGATAAAAGCTTACGATTTAAAATCACGGTTGTATATTCTATTTATATTATTTACAAATGACAGTTTTTACACTGCTTTCCAACACACCTTTTAGTTAGATGATGCATAAAACCTTAAAATTTATAATTACAGTTTCAATTCATGTTACATTATTTATAAATTACAGTTTTAACAATATTTTTCATTATACCTTGCACAAAAGCTCGCAATTTAACACGACAATTCATCCATTACCTCTTCATCTTATTTTTAACATCGGACTGTCCCAGAAAATATTGCACCTTTCGAAGCTTCAATTTGTTGAATTGTATTTACAACAAAAAAAGAATGTTAAGTACGGTGAACTATGATCCCCTGACGTCATTCTGAAAGGAATTGCGTTACACTTTTAGTAAAAACCTCCACGTATTCACGTACAATTTTTACATAAATACAAATTTCGTATGACAATTTAAAGATCGTTCGAGAAATAAAAATTTGAATTTGAATTATAGAATGAAGTGTTTCACAAACAGCAAGAACACATTCGATCTTTTATTCGAATAAAAGTCACGAGTCGATTGTTATTTTACAATTTAAATGAAAATCCACATGTCTTATCATTGACAATGATTCATTGTTAAATCAGCTACAGTTTATAAAGTGTACCACCGTTTAACAAAATAGTCAAAAGTCTAGACTACAAGTGAACTGTAATTTTAACTAGATATAAAATTATTGTATTAATTTCAATAATACAGTCGAAACAGTAAAACTATAATTTTTGTCGTAATTTGTTTCAAAAATATAGGAAGGGAACAACCGAAAAACAGACACCAGCATGTTTCATTATGTATATTTTATTTGAACAATTTAGAAGTAATGAGAAACAGAGACTAAAGCAGGGTGAAGTAAAAATTGATGGTAAAAATATCTCGAAACTATTACGCGGAATACGTTTATCGGTTCTCATTATCGGTTACTGTTTAATAGCGTGACCTCGCGCCACAGTACTGGCGTTGTACCATTAGCAATGTAAAAAGATTCATATGTTTTTGTCAAGAAACTGGAATAGTCAATTAATGCTCCTTACATGAACGTTTATCGGACATACAATCGATGTTATAAAAGTGGGCAAATGAAACATTTTTTTTCTGGCACATGACTTATTAAGCACGCTAAATAATCAAAAGAAAATTGTTCACTTTGTATGCAAAATTGTCTCAAATAAAACCTGGAAGAACGTACCCTTTCAGCTTGTTGATATAAAAATAAACAAATAGAAAAATAATTGAAAGATAATTATTTCGCTTCTTTTACAAAGTCCTTTTACTTTTTAATAAAACCTGAAAAAATGTACTCTTTCATCTTGTTGTTATAAAAATGTACAAAATACTTTTCCTGATACTTGAACTTTTAGAAATAATCAAAAGAAAATTATTCACTTATGCGAAATTCTCTCACTTTTTAATCAAACCTGAGAAAATTTACTCTTTCAGCATTTTCTTATATTCCCCCCTGAATTCATTTCTACAAAATGAAACAAAGGGTTTTCCCAAAGGGACTTCAGAATTTTATTTTTCATTAAACACATTGTATGAAATACGTCAAAGTTTTTTTTATTTTAAATGAAAACGCACATGATTGAACACGAACGATGATGTTGTTATGCTGCCTGGTGTTTTTTGTTATTAAAAAGCAAAATCCAAATGGCAAAGTTCTTATCTAGATAAAAATGTTTGAAATTTTAGTAAATTGATCGGATAGAAATCTTATATTATAAACAATTTGCTACTGAATAAAACATGAAAAAAAGTCTTTCTTAAAAAAGAAAAAAAGAAAACGAAGACGAAGTTGGAACGTTCAGAAGTATATTGACAATATATTTGAATTACTCTGTTACAGTCTCTTTAATATTGTGCTACCAATCTGCAAACATTGCACAGGATTTTGTTTATTCAAAAATACCGAAGACCGAATAAAAAAATGATCAACTCTGTATTCGTTATTCGTGAATTGTTCATTAAAAAATAAAATCCCAAGGATCCTTTTGCAAAGTCCTTTACATACAAGAGGAGTCATTAATAATAAACAATTCGTGACGTTACCTGCTACAATTTATTCGTTGCATATGAAAGAAACATCCGCTGGAAATCTGTGGACGATTTAAAAATTTCGTTTGCCTCTTTACGTCACGTCGTATTCAGCAACAATGATAATAATATTGTAATGAGCCATTCGATGTTGTAATGGTATTTGCGTCAAACATGTGCTGCACATGGGCTGGGCGACGTTTCGTTCAACTGTTTATTTACCTTTCATGATGGCTCCACCTTCAACGGTGCCATTTTAACCGCATTTTTATCGTATCGTGTCAGCCTAATGACTAAGTGTGTACAGCGGGGACTCTATTAAATTACAGACAAATTTGATTAAAATAAACGCAATAAAATCTCGCGGTTAATTCGCGTATACGGAATATTCTCAGTGCTTTTACAAAACGTGTATTGATAAAAAAAAAAAAAAAAAAATAAAAATAATAATAATAATAATAATAATACATTATCGCGGTAAATAGCTCGAAACGCAAATGCGAGACCACTATATTTTAATGTGCGGTTGTTATCACATCGAGTACACAGCGTTGCCCGTGGTATCGCGGTCACGGAGTTTCTTTTAAAGTTTTAAGGTCTCTCAACTACCAGCTGATTTTGTTAGTAACATTTAATCGTTATCGAAATATTAAGTCTTTCTTATATTATTGTTAAACCATACGTGCGTCACTTTTTCCTGATTAATTTTATATCGGAAGATCGCTATCCACAGTGGTGAGAGGAAATAATTGCGTAAATAATTTGAGCAGTGGTCACAGAATTTTTGTTTTTAATTTTAGAGTCTCTTAACTACTAGTAACATTTAGATGTTATTGAAATATTTCTTTCTTTCTCTATGACATTGTTAAACCATACCTGCAGCATTTTTCCTTATTTAATTGTACGTAAAAATCTTTAGAAGAACAATACACTCAATTTGCTCCCCTGATAGGTATCAATTGACGTTACCAAGTGGTAATTTTATTCGTACAGCACTGGTTCGTTACAATTCTGAAACACTTAAGGAGATCTCGACTGGAGTGTTAAAACAATCCACAAGGAGTGTAGTGAACGTTCTCGTGCCACTAAACGTAAAGTAATGTGATTGAATATCATCGTGGAATCGTGTTACAAGATAAAAGTGCAACATGTCCTCGTATTTTCGATGGATAAAGAGTGGAAAGAAGGACGACTACTTCGGGGCCAAACCGAGGAGCCGTTCCTTGGATTCGAAGAGTCTCGAGTCCTCCGGGATACGCTTCATTTTACAAAATGTACATAAAGTTTGTTAATTTAATATACAACGAAACATTTAAAAACTCTCCCAGCAAACACATTCACTTTTTTCTTTTTTTATGCGATACACAACTCCATTGCGATTAACTAAATTCTTTCTTATCACTTGTGACGACTGCTTTTCTTCAATTTTATTTTTATTCCCATTGTTAATTTTATTCTGGAGAATTTGGATTAACGTATATATTTTTTATGTTGCAGAGAACCGCGGCTCAGCACCAGGCACAAATAGCAGCGCAGGGTAAGTATTACAACATGTAAGAACTACGTTCTAGTCTACGAATCGAGTGTCTGATTATTCCTGGCTTCATAAACACCCGAAGTCATAAAGATGGAGCATACGTGTCAAGATAACCGAGAAATGTCACCTGACTTTGATAGTGTCTGGGAAATATATCTTTGCACGCTTTTTAGCTTTTGCCGCCGTTGCTCGCGAGCATGATATCGACCATTTAAACGAAAAACGCTACCTACATTTATCTACAGCCGATAATCGAATTTAGTTTTCTCTGTTAGATGACAAAACCCGATTGATAAATTACTTAAAATTTTCTAATCTACTATAACAAAACTTGATCAGCATTAAGACTTGAAGTAACGTATATAGGACAACAATAATATGTATAAAGAATGATAAAGAATGATGAAGACTTAAATATTGTTCTATTCTTATATACATACTCATGTTGCTTCAATAATTGTGTATAGATTAATTATACAAAATTATAGCAATATGAACTTTAAACAATTAGATTTAAAAATGATAGTACTTCGTTATCTGTGACTTTCCAGCGCAAATAACCATTGCTAATCTGTTTAATCCATGCATTCTTCTTTCTCTCCTTTCTCTCTCTAATCTAAAAAATTACCATTAAAATTCTCAATCTTACAATCTTATAAATAAAATTTGTTGTCCTATTATGATTATGAGTATATACACTGAACACTATGAAACTGTATAAATGAACAAAAATTAAATACAGTTATGATATCTAAGATTTAAGAGTCAGAACGTTTAAAATAACAGGAATACTTCGTTCCTTATTCAGAAAGGGAGTTTATTCCCAACGGGGCACATTATGCAACAGAGTGTTAAAACAGGTCAACAAGTTTCGTTGCAATATTCAATTGTAGATAACTGAGTGTATTCAGACTAAAATCAATTGGCTGCTCACGGTCACTGAAGAATTATCCCCACCATTCTGTGTGGCTCCTCCGCTGCCTTTATCTCTCATCTTTTGGCGCAAACTTGCATGTTTGCCCTCTCTCTCTCTCTCGCTCTCCTTTGAACAATCTCCTAAATGTCAGAGGCAAGCGACATGGCGTAACAGTGGGAGTCGCGTTTGGCCTAATTCCGATCACACAATTATGTTAACCATAATAACTTCCTTGTTTGTTTGGATTTTATTGAAAATTTTCGGAATAATTAATCAGTTAGGGAAATATTAATTAGTTTTAAAATTATTAGCTATATAGGAAAGCTATAATATTTTAGGATGCTTCAAATTTCTTTTTTCATAGAATTCAAATTAACATAAAAATAAAATCTATCCAGAGTAATTTTTGCTGTTCACGTATCAAAGTATTATCTATATTTAGTAGAGGACAGAAATAGTTATTTTCTTTCTATGTTTCGCGGGAGGATTATAGTGTGTAAATTGAAAAACTCGTTTCCTTTTTATGTTTGTATATCACCAGCCACTACGATCGGATCTAAACTTCTTTAAAATTTGATATATGTACCGGCAACTCCCGGGAGATGTTTGTCTGTCAGAGTCTGCCAACTTTAAAATTGGTATATCGCCATGTCCCCCAATTCTGTGATCTGAACGAAGGAAACCAACCTTTCGCCTGTACAGGGTCGAGGTTCGATGCTGTAAAACGATAAAACACGTGCTGAGATGAGTCATTCACTAATGAAAATCTACATTTTTCTGTTCTTCGTTCAATCGATAAAATCCTCCCAAAAGGGGGGAAATTCTACTTAGCAAGGTCCGAAAAAAGGATATTTGGAAAATTTTCTCGTAATAAATTTCAGGGTATCTTAAAGAACATTTCTTAGTGCACGTGTAGCAATTCTTGTACTCTAAAATATCTTAGATTAAAAAAGTTGCGTCACTTTTTTTACATTTATCGCGGTGACGGCATTGATTTTCTGACGAATTATATCAAATAAAACATCATCTCTACAACTTTGTTAAATTGAAATATTTTTAAATACAAAAATTGCTACTCGTGGAGTAAGCAACGTTCATTTTAATACCCAAAACTTTATAACCAGAATATTTTTCGTTTGTCTAAACAAAAATTCACAAACATGCTCCTTTTTCAGACCGCCCTACAGTGAGTGTAGAAAGTATTCGTGCACCAATCAATTTCCAAAAGAAACTATGTAAAATTGTAGTTTCTTAACTTCTTTTTTTATAAACAATGACATTCTAAATATTTTCGGAAATCTCTAGAATAGATAGATTACAAAAAAAAAATAGCTATTTATGTAAGTTGCGAAATTAACAAGAAAAAAACAATTGATCGATAGAAATATCGAAGCAATAAGTATTGGCACAACTGTTTAATTTTTAAAACTTCATTACAAAAAAAAAATTACTTTAATTTACAAATATATAATACTTCCTTCGTGGGATTTCCTTTTGGTTTTATCATTATTGTAACTTTTTTAAGCGTTAAATTAACTAAACTATTAGTTATTCGAAGTGGGATCTTTTTCCATTTCTCTGTTAGATCCATTTTTAAAAGTACTTTCCTGGAAATTTGATGTTTTCTAATTCGTACGGAGCAGTAAACTAGTGTGTTTACGTTACAAACTCTGCTGTAAATGGTTCGTCATAAGAATCGTATAAATACTTATTGCTTCTATACCTTTACCCACTTTTCACATTTTTTTGTTAATTTCACAAATTGTATTAACTAGTAAATGTTGTTTGGACTATATCTCTATCTTAGAGACTTCCGAGAATATATAAAACATCATTGATTATAGAAAAAGAAGTTAAGAAACTACAATTTCACAGAAAAGTTTGTTGGGAAATTGATCGGTGTACGAATACATTCTACATCCACTGTAAATAGGAGAAAAATACGAAAACAGACCAAAATTGGAATTTTTGTACCTTAATTCAATTGTTCCTAATTCCGGTATTTATCCATAGATTTTCTTCAGCAAAAGTGCGATCTATACGTAAACAATAAGAAACTGGACGTAATTCGACAATTTCTATTTTTCCATGGCGATGAAAGAAATATTCGTGTTCTATTTTAGCCGAAAAAATCAATGTTTCTCATATATATTGGCTCGTGACACTTAAACTATTGAACAGATTGAAAAATAATGTTAAAAATAATTGTTGGAAATTCGATTGCCTTTCTAACTCGAGATATGGCAAAAAATGTGAAGTTATCTCAGAAAAAAAAATAAAAAAAAAATTAAAAAATTCATATAAAAAAAACCCATCCATAGAAAAATTTTTCATTGGGATTTTCAAGTTTAGCAGGTCAAAATACATAAGAAAAGAAAATTGTCGCATTGAATGTACATTTTTGCTGTAAACTGATATTGTAAAATAATATTGGGTTGTCCGGAAAGTCCATGCCGATTTTTGTTAGGTGGTGCAGGTCTGAATATGTCGAAATGGCTGGAAACAAATAACATATTACGTACACCCCTTAAAAAGTGGAAAGGTTGTGGAACAAAATAGTACCTATGTAATTCAATAAATATACATATAAAAAAATGTATGTTAACAATTGAAATGCGCCTTTGAAGTTTTCTTAAAAATTGGCACGAACTTTCTGGACAACCTAATAGATAATACACATAATAAACGCCAGCAAACAGATCTTTCATTACGTCAATTGTTTACGATGAAAAAAAATTGTTACGCATGGCTATGGTTTTTACACGTTCAATGTAGCTTCTTGAGTAGATTCCACACCCACTGTAGGTATACTTCCGTAACTCCATACTATTCATAAAACCATAGCCCGTATTTGATTTTCTTTTAGTTTTTTCCATATCGTGTTATTACGGGAATTTACTGTATTCGAAAACGTCGTTTATCGAGCGAGAATTGTACGTTGATAATTCGTAGTTCTCTCGCTAGATGTCGACTTGGAAATCGTAGTTAATATGGCGGGTACATTCCGAAGTACGTGCGGGAGCCGAAGCCGCTGAGACCTGCGCCTCAGACCGTTTTTGTACCGCAACGCGTAAGGTGGCACGTGCTTCGTAGTTGCCTGCATCCCGTTCACGTAGCACATTCAGGATCAGTGTTAATAATTCTTGGAATTATCGCATGATATCCCCTCAAAGCCTTCCATGCAATTGCGCTCAATTAGGAGCCAAGAAAATCCGGTCGCGGCCGAGTGAATCGTTACAGAGAAAAGATCTACGTGCGAAATGTAACGTGGCACCCACCACGAGGAGAATTCGCCACGGACGTACGCAAACTCGAGTCCTTCCTCGGTTCGTCATTTTCGGGAGCAGTACTCTCGTTAACGACACCCAGTCGAATGGCTTTTCAAACGTATCGCGAGAAGAACGTGTCAGCAACAACGCGACCAGCGACCGTAAATGTAAACATTATTCCGCGGTGTGCGGTGGCTTGCGGCAGGCGTGGATGGGAACCGGTAATTTTTTGCTGGCCTCTCGAACACCGGTAGTTTTTGTTCGTCGTTGATACGACTGTTTCGTCGACGATAATCGACCCGGGTCGTATTGCCCATCTCAATGGTGCTTCCAATTAGTGCTATCGAGAATTTCGAATACACAGTGCCAGTGATATCGAGTGTTTTCACAGCGTGGAAAGGACGTCCTCTCTGTTGCGTGCTTTAATGTCAACGATTCGATTTCCTGGAAAGGAAGTTTCTCGAGAAACGTCGAGAAGTGCGTGGATCGCGAATCGTGGTCTAAAAGTGATAAAGTTTCGCGAGTAACCGAGGATTCGTCGGAGGAACGTTGTAAACGAGTTTGCACGTGAGTATTATCCCTGCTTTCTCGGTTACGCGAAATAACTTGTCGAGAGACGCGGACGGTTACACACACGATGAATCGTTTACCTAACTTTACCTTGGAGGTTTCGAACGTCTTACTGCTGTACCACGCGCTTATCTTCGGTGCATTATCATATCGGGGCTTAAAGTCCACGTAAAAATGATAAAAAAAAAAAAGTCGAGCGTGACCCGTATATTTTCACGAGTGCGTTTTATTTTGTGAAAGGTTTT